CCCCAAAACCCCAAAACCCCAAAACCCCAAAACCCCGTAGCTCAATTAAGACAGTTTTATGTCAGTGAATATATTATTGAATATTAATGATTGAGATTGTAGTGCTGAGTGCACCGTTTCGATGACCTGTCATAGGCGGTCATTTTGATAAATATTCTCAAGGTCTTTTCATCTCCTCTCTTAATACAGTTTCGAAGGAGAAGGGAACGAATTTATATCCAGTACCCTTGTAGAACTTGTTTTGGAACTCGACCCAATGAAGTCTAAGTGTGTGGAGGAAGCATTCTAGGGTATCCATACACATAAGTACACCGAAAGTGAAGGTAAAGAAACCTAAGAAGCAAGCCCAGAACTAAAAGATATATTAAACAAAAGTAATAACTTACAGCAACACCCCCAGTTCCAACATTATCGATTTTGTAAGCGATAGTGAGAATATTTTCCAAAAACACAGCAGCGAGTTAAGAGTGAGCTAAAGATAAGGCCCATAGACGGAGATAGGATGCAGTGTTAGAGACACCTCCTAGCACGAATTCGATGGTTTCAATCAACTAATGAATGAATATTTCTCCGATATCGTGATGCTCCTTGCCAGAGCCCATATTCTCAAGAATCTCAGAAATCTGTGTATAAACTTGGTTCTTGTTTTGAGCCTTTGAATCCTCTAACCCCTTGTCATATTGAACTGATTCAGTATGAACATCAACGTGGGCAGCATGGTTATGGTGTGCGTTCTTGATTCTGTGTCTCATGACGAGTGGCTTTACGCAGAGCATTAATGGTACCATGGCAATAGCTATCAAGACAAGAGCGATAGAAGCACCTTTTTGACTTTCAAGGACATAGTAATATTTAGTTTTGTCATAGGTGAAAGTCTCCCCGTCTTTGTTTCCTTATACTGAAGTTGAGTTACTAGCACCTCCCAAGAAAATATCAATCATAGTTGTGATAACAGGAGGAGATAGTTGGGTAGCATTGAAACCTCCATACTCATATTCGAGATCCCATGTACCTGGAGGAACACCAGATCCTGGAACAAGATAATCCTAATCAACATTCTGAGGGTAAGCCCACTTAGCAATAATAAGAATATCCATCCATCCGAACAAAGCGATGAGGAAGATAATTTGAGGAATGAATTCGAAGAAGAAATCGATTGATCTCTTGAAGTAAAGTGAGTTAAGTCCTTTCATAATAATACCCATTGACATTTGAAGAACTGCAATGATAACTGAAATCTTCATCTTTAGTTTGTTGGTGTAAGCGAGCATGTTAGTTGATTGAGCCCATCTTGAATCAACTCCGAATGTATAAACGCATCTATGTGAGAGTTTTTCATATCCATAATCGGCTGGGACATTTCTAACTCTTAAAGGATCAGTTGAGTTAACTGAAGTTGAAAGTACAGAAATTTCCTCAGAGTAACAAGATTTATCTAACTCAAGTGGAATAGCAAAGAATTCATTATAGATGAAACCGTTATAGAAAGCGAATATTCCCATCAATAGAATTAAATGTCTAATTTAACCCATATCAGCTAAGCTTGTTCTTTGAATCTGATCATTGAAAAGGCACATTAAAATACCAGCGATTAAAAGTAAACCTCCATGACCAACGTCACCAAACATAACACCGAATAAGAAGGGGAAAGTAACAATAGCAAAAACAGCTGGGTTGACCTCCTTATACATTGGAATACCATAGGTATTAACAATTTCCTAGAAAGTGTAGGTAAATTCATTTGATTTGATATATGTAGGTGGAGTGATGCTATGATTCTCAAATCTCTAAAAATCAGTAGTAGGATAATTTGATAAAACATCTCTAATTTCTCTCTCCTCAAGACTTGGGCTCCAGAAATAGCCAATATAAGTAGTCTAACCTTATCTCATGTTATTCAAAGCATGATAGAGGTTTTTTTCTTTAGAAACAAACCATTTATAGACTTCGAGAGAACTAATGTTTTCATGATGAAGTTGTTAATCTCCCTCTGCGTGACTTATTTGGTTGATTTGAGTCAAATAAGTCTTTAGATATTTCTTTGAAGTTTCAGTAAGGTTTTTAGATTCTAGAATATTTCTCTTGACCTCGTCTATTTTCTGGTCAATAGTACCCATTGGTGGGAGATCGAATCTTTGGCCCATAAATGAGTCGCATATTCTCACAATTCTGTCTCTTAATTGTCTACCTTCTTAGAAAACTACGATATAGACAGTCTTGGTCTTGTGTTTTCCATCTGGAGTTCTGACCTCAAAATCTTAAAAGAAAGTAAGAGCCTTTCCTCTAGTAGCTCTGAAAAGTAATTTCTTTAATCTAGATTTCTCTTCAACTTCAATGGTACCTGCAATATGAGCAATGTAGACGTTGTCATTATCAAGAAGTGGTGCTTTCTCAATGTTATTGATAGAGGTTGATTTTTATTCTTCTAAAACAATGCCTCCGTGCATTGATGATCTAACTTGACCACCTTGAATCTAAGGTAAGACTATTGAAACATTTTCAAGGACTTTCTCGTAATCCAACATTGTCAAAAAGCTTTCATTCATCTCTCTAAGTTTCTCTGTTTGTTCAATCACGAATTTCTCCTTATCTCTTACATCATGTTCAATTTCCTCGAATAATAGATTTGATGCCTTGTTTTTTGCGTTCTTCACAGCAGAGAGAGCTTCCAAGAATGATTTAATGCTTTTTGGCTTCTGGATCTTAACCTTCAAGTGTTTGCATTCATTTAAGATGTACCTATTCAATTAATTAGTTTAGATCAGATTCATACATAATTCTTCTTTCAGTCTCTTCACATCTCTTGATTTAGTTTGCGTAAGGCAAGTTGAAAGGTTATTCTCCCCTATTTAGATCAATGAAATGAACTAAATTTAAGTTTCCTAGTTGATTCATCACATCCCAAGCATCATCCTTTGGAATAGCAATTTAGTAGAGGGTCATATCCTCAGATCTATAAGAAAAAAAGTTCGCGAATAAATAAAGATTTACATACCTAAATATTCCCATATTAGTTGGATCTCTTAAACAATAATATATCTAAAATAATTATAAATCCTTTCTATTGATTAATCATATATATTTAATACTGTCGACTTTCCAACATTGCTTTGATTTATTCTGATGGGGTTTTGGGGTTTTGGGGTTTTGGGGTTTTGGGG